ACATACCCGCCGTTAACCATCTGCGTCGGGTATTGCATGCCCGCTACACCGGGGTACATGCCCATAGGATAGCCTGCCTGCATTTGCTGACCAGGCATGACTCCACCAGAGTAAGGCCAGCCGGGGAGCTCGCCAAACCATGGCAGCTCAAAGATAGGCCCCGCCCAAGCGTAAGGGTACCCAAGTACGCGAGCACGACTTGTGAGCGCGATCAGGACCCACAGGAAGATGGCGTCTAAAAGCGGCTTTGAGAAACCGATGGCCAAGAAACAGCGCGATACGTACAAAGACAAAAAATCATCCACGAGAAGGCTTCAATAACTTTCATCTCATAACACCATGATTTCGTGGAGACTAAGAGATGCAGAGATAAGTATGAAGACAACTATGACACAAGTACTGTAGAAGTTGCTCACTGTGTGAACCGGTCTTTGTTGCCATTGTAGCATCTCCCAAAGCATCACATTGGACAGTACCGATGATATCGCTTCATGCGTGTTCAGCCGCGCACTGCAGAACTTGAACGCGAAATTCGACTTACGCAGACCATGCACCCATTGCTTAGAGTAACATCAGATGGGAGTGGGCACAATACAAGGAAGGCGCATACCTAACCATAAGACACCTAAAATGAATAAAGTAATAGCTTCCGTCCGGGGTGAAGACCATGATATCCTGATCCACAAAATGATTCAACGCCACTCGTTGCGTGCACGGTGCACCTCCAAAGTACGCACGTTATTAGAAATACAAGAATCGTTAATGATGGCACAACAAGAGAGAAGATTCCGAAATCGTCTGGGATGTTGCGTAAGTCGACGCATCAGCTTGAGCAGATAATAGATGGATAATATAAAACATACGCTGGATATTTGGTAAGAAGATGCTGCCCATATATGCAGCGAGACCGAGTACTGTTGCAGAAAGCAAGAGAATGGCGACTATATGCGGTTTAGGGTGCAATTTATGAGATGAAGGAGAACCACACTCACCGAAGCCATAAAGGCGCATCTCCTTGAATAGCTGTGTCATCTGGAACGCGCCCCATCGTCAAATATGCTCGCGTCGAAGCCGAATACACACTCACGGCGAGGATAGAATATTGAAAAGCACTGAACAAGTCGCAGATAATTGGGGTGGGGAGAAATGAAGGGGCGTGGTAGTCGTGAAGGGGAGCTCCAGGGACTTTACAGGCGTCAGAATCCGTAGACGCGGTGGGCCGGGGGCTGCTCAATTCGAACAAGGTTTGACGTCAACCGGACAATATTCGCGACGCGTCCCACGTGACTCATATACGCGCACACGTGTATGGCGCATGCCTCCAGTGACCCCACCAGACGCCGTCACCCGCTCCGCCCACTGGCACATGCTCTCACTGTCTCAGGCAGAACGTAACCTATAACGGCTTCAATATTCCTATTGGTGTTGTACACATCGTATGTCTGCTACACGTAACCCACAATACGCCCGTTAAATACATAACACGGCATGTCTGTCCCCAAATAAAAAGTGCAGCCATGCCTCGTCTAGTCATAATCATTGCGCATCACCGCCGGGGCGATGCGTCCCTGTGATATTTATCGCGCGGTCGTGTATCTCGTACATGCGCCTGCTCCGGTGTCTTGTGGGGCAGCCAGTAGACATACGTAGGTGATTCATTGCGAGTCGGCCCATCACCCACCGCGGGTGGCAGCCGGCCTCTCGACCGTGAGTCCTGTCGCTGCGGCTGCGCACGCCCAGAGTCCTTCCTGTAGACCTGGTTGCGCTGCGAATCTTGCCGGTTCACCACCGTGCGCTGAGAGTCTTGCCGGTTCATCTTTGTCCGCTGAGAGTCTTGCCGGTTCATCTGTGTCCGCTGCGAGTCCTGGCGATTGACTTGGGTTCGCTGCGAATCGTACCGATTGACATGCGCCCGTTGCTGCGAATCCTGCCGGTTTACCATCGTACGCTGAGAATCCTGACGGTTGACCGGCGTGCGTGAAGAGTCGTTACGTTGCGCTTGCGTGCGCTGCGTATCGGCGTGTTTGGGGAGATGGCGCGGAATGTCGATGAGACGCCAAGAATTCCGGATAGAGTCTTTGATCCTCCCAGAGGTCTGAGCGCGCTCTTTGCCCTTCTCCTGCATAGCTGGTCGTGACCGCGATCGACTCCTCTGGGTGACGGGAGCTGGCAGCTTGCCGCTGCTCTGTTTCCCGCCCTTGCCAAACCACGGGAACGCGGTGACAGATGTGACCCAGACACGCCTCTCGCCGAGACGATGTTGCCGGAGAGCAAGGACCAATAAGAATACAAAGAAGCCCCAAACTGCACGCATTCAAATGAGACATCGTTCAGACATAGAGAGGGTGAAACGTACTAATGATAACGTTGAAGAAAGAAAACGCTTCCAAGACGCGATACTGAGCTTGGTAGATCTCCGTGTTAACTGTAGATAGTTCAATTAGCCACTTTGAACCGTTTGTATCTGCGACCACTTACAAGACGAGAGATTAACCACATCTGAGGAATCGGCCGACGAAAAACATTCTACATCTGCATCTTCCGCATCGGAAGAAGCAATAAAGCCTGACAGCGCTACAGGCACGCGCGTTAATCTCTGACAAGACGTCGGTCAAATTTAGACACTTGCCAAGCCACAGTACTCCTGCGAGTCCCAGACAACCCAGTTCAATCCGAGTGGATATGGGATTTCGCTCTTTCCAGAGACTGAATCCAAGCCTGGGGACTACTGTGAGAAAGAAGATCGAGGAGGACTACAGAAAATACTCACAATGCTAGGATGATTAACAAGCTTACACTGCACACAAAGATAGCGAACGGCACGAAACGAGCTTGATGGGGGTGAGCATTGGCCGGCCACGGTCAGACCTAGCATCACTCACTGAGGTCGGAAGTTATAAGGATAGACTGAAAATGTGCCGCAATTGCCAAGCAGATCACAGCCCACGCAAGTACCGCGCCTGCGCCGCGTAAGCATAACGTCGGAGCGGGCGGACAAAGTGTTAGGATTGCTCACCATACGCGCAGAACCGGAGGATGTTGAAGACTGAAGGCATGCGAGGGAATAAACGAAAGACTGCAAAAGGCGACCGTCTGGCGGAGCGAGATTGTGATTGGCCTCGACGGCCAGCAGCCTGCTTTGTATTTGAGGACTTCATCGTGGAGTCGTGGACTGACAAAGAGCGCGCGGAGTCAAAGCAAATGAAAGGCAGCGTGGCCAACGAGGCCCAGGCGTGTGCAAAAACCTGGCCTTAATCGCGTTCCCTCTCGTCGGCCGCTCGTATCAGGAAAAGGAGAGCTGTGTGGCCAGCTGAAGCCTTGGCCTGAATGGAAGATGGGAGGGGGGCGGGGACGCGTCCGGAGGCTCGGAGGTTTACATAGGGGACTGTGTTCTAAAATTTCCGGTGTTTGTTGCATAATATTTGCCTGGCACGGGAGATGGAACAGTGTGGGACGACAAGCGAGGGTACGGCCCATCGAAGACCGCCTCGAGGCAGGGTGGATGCTGCACAGGCACCCATCCGGAGCGCGGTGGCTGCGTCCCGCCATTTCCGGCTGTAATCCCACACTCCGCCGTTCGGAGCTCGCCATGCCGCACTCGGCTCACACGCTGATTGGCTGCTGGGCGCAGAGGTCTAACATTGTCCCGCGTCTCGAGATCATTATCGATAGACTAGTCCTCCTTCCTTTGGTTCCGTTCTCAGACTCACTCCACCACCTCGGCCCTCAGCGCCTCCCCCAGCGCTGCGTACTCTGCCAGGCATTCTGGATTTCGCAACGTTGCCGCGTTCACACTGGACACCGGCGCGCCATTGATGATCTGCTGATAGCCTCTGAGTCGCCCGCCACCACGTTGCACACATGAATCGCACCGCACCTTCTTCACAGGTATCTCCACACGCTTCAAGTTCACCGTATACGGTATATCTTGCACCTGGATCACCTTCGTGGAACAATAGAATGTCAGCAACAACGTTCCAGGGCCACAGCGCACTGCGGAGGAGGATCGACTCACCCGGGCGGGAACGTGTCTCGCGCTTCTCCGCGACCGTATCTCGGCCTTCACCCGCTTCTCCAATTCCGGGGTAAGCGTTTGCCCCTCAAGAAGCTTCACAAACAGCACAACGCGCTCATCCGTGCCCTTGGCAATGCTCTGGCCGACCACCAAGCTGTCAGCAATGGCGTGCCCGGCGTGCGACGTCGACGGCGCGAAGCATAGCTCAATCACGTCGTAGATTTCAGCTGACCCAAAGCGCACCCCTCCAGGATTGCTGGTGACCTGAGCGTCAGCAGACAATGACGAAACGGCACGATCTCTCGTAACACGCACAGTACACCATCGCTTCTCCCCAGCATTATCAGACCCCCTCCGTTTCCTGCACGCGATCGCGTGATGATAACGTGGTCTCCGTGAACTGGGTATCGGCGGGGATGAGTATCCAGACCCTCGAAGTGAAGCAGATATTGTGATACATACACCATACATCCGGATACTCTGAGAAGTACGCCTGTTGATAGCGCAGTTTGGCAGCTTCAACAGCGTCCTCGGGACCGTACCCGGGCAGCGGCCAGAACCCCGCAGGCATACACGGAAATGGCTTCAAACATACCAGTTCTCCTGCTTCGTCTGGCTGTGCCCGTATGCCTGCGGGCGTGAAAACTTCTACTGCCATACCTAATAACCGGCACTGAATTTCTCCCCGGAACACTGGAAGCGCTGTGCACACGCCCGCAAAGAGGGAGCAGATATCGGTTCCACCTATCACCCGCATTAATACGTGAAATGAGCGGTGTGAACGAGCTCCGTACCGGTGATAGAAGCAAGGAGGATATCGGCCTTGATATGCACGTATACAAAATCAAACAACGGGGATGCGAGTGGAGAACCTGTCGAATAAATGTGGCGCAGCGATGTCAATGTGTGGTGTTCCGCAGGCTTGTACACTTTCTATGAAATCCGCGCAGTCAATCACACGGTCAAGGGGACGAGTGTCTGGGCAGAGGGGTTTCACACTTACTGAAAGTGAGTCGATATATTTCGCGCTAGTTCCGAAGAGCGTAATACCCAGCTCATCTACGAGTCGCCAGAGGTAAGCCGGATCGCGCAGCGGGCTGCCGTCGTATAGCACCAGCGTACACCCCACGCTCAGGGCGCTTATCAGCCAGTTCCACATCATCCATCCTCTGAAGGACACAATCGGGAAATGTCAGAGATACGGCAGGACTACGTGATGCACTGACGTTGTGGTATAGTAAAAGAATACGTCTTGAGGTTGGAGGTCCGCGCAAATGGTGAATTCCTTCTTCATCTGCAGGAGCATACCTCCTGCTCGGTGGACAATCGGCCTGCGGTGGTAACGTCAAACACAGCACACGCAAACGCGCGATTCGCAAGTGTGCGTCTACCACTTACTTCGGGCGTCCTATCGGGCATGTGAGCGATGACATATTAATCCAAGGGCGTGTGCCAAGACGGCCAGGCCGTGCTCACCAGTCGTCCCGGAGCTGAATAAAATCCAAAGGGGCCAGTCAAAGTCTAAACGCTTCCACTCGACCTCTCCGTCAGTTGTGCGACCAAGTTGTTTCTCTTGACCTATGGAAACAATATGCTTCCACTCGAGCCATCCCTGCTCCCACTGCTCATTGTAGGAAGGCGTCAGAGAACGGCGAACGACGATGACTTGGGGCTGCAGTGATATGCGATCGGAGAGGCCGGAAAGTAGTGCCTTTAGCTTTGGAAGGTGAGGGTGCACTTTTGCATTGTAGCTATAGCGCAGATCAGGATGCAACTTGCAAGCTACGCGTGATTTAAATGCGCTCACACAACAGAGTCGACGGATATAATCAATCTTGGCTGGACTTGCTCGAACCTGGTGAAGTTCACGCGCCGTCTCTACAATGGATACGGTTATATCTCACCTCTCCAAGACTCCCTCTGGACCGAAATCTGCAGCGGCACTGACCCATATGCAGCCTGCGTAGAGCGGAAGCCCGTCTCAGTGTCTGGTGATCATAGTTATTTCAGGACATCGCTAACCGATGGCAGAGGACGCTAGACATGCCGCGACGTTTTCCTGATACAGTTGTCAGTGACGTAGTTTTGCAGCATCATATCTGCAAAAGCGCATATAGAAACCCCGTTCTAACAGCGCCGCTGCCAGATGGACGACCGCAGCCGTTGAATAATTATATCAGGAACATACAAATACTATCACATTAGCATCATGTATGGAATGTCAAGCAAGAAATTCTATGGCACTGTGATCATCAGAAACGACAAGACGTACAACGGAGTTGGACGAGTACGACGCGACTCGATCTCCCGCCTTGAGGCCTAGCGAGAGGAATGCAGACACAAGGTCGGCAACGAGAGAGTAGAGTTCGGCGTAGGACACGCGACGAAGTGGAGGATCGGGGTTGTTCGGCTCAGGCTCAACTAGGGGATGTCTCCGCACCCGGGGTTTCTGCGCATAGAAAGAGCGAGCACATACTGGCTTCGATCAACGCCGTCTTATCCGGGGAGCGGCAGCGGAGCATGTTCTCGGCCCAATTGAGCTTGGCTTCCGGAAACCATGAAGGATTCGCGGGCGGCAAGGCAGATGCGTCGACGACGATACCGCCCTTGGATCCGGTAATGTCGGTTTCATCCCAAGCGGCACTCCAGAAGTCGTCAATCCTGTTTGTAGACCAGCGATAGAGCTCTTCGTAAGAAGATAGTGCTAGACCATATTCAGCATTCACACGTTTTAGGAACTGAAATGTCCGGGACGATTCAGGGGCGGGAGGATTGTAGAGAGGATTCATGAGTGCAAAGGTTAAGTAGTAGAAGCGCAATTGGGGTGTTGAGTTTTGTGCATACACCGGATCTATGCAAATACACGGGGTATGCAATAGAGTCGAGTCAGATCAGGGCGGACGGGCGAGTGCGAGAGTGCGTTCCCCGCACTTCCTGTGAGTATGTTGCGCTGTTAGAAGGTGTTGTAATGTGCGGTGCCTGTTATCGCCGCAGCTTACTGTTATCTCTCACAAGAATGGCAAGCCTGCGGATGCATTATGAATAAACGTTCGCATGCTGACTCGTTCGGTGTGATGTGGCGACTCACTGAAATGCTGGGCCTGCGTCAATCAGAGGCCGGGTAGCGATGACGTCCAGTTGGATATCTATGTGTTCTGTTGTCCGAGAGGGAGATACATGGAACTTGCAGACGAAACAAAAATGGGCCGACGGAGTGTTTGAATTTTGTCTGACGAGTGGACGGATGAAGCGGAGTGGGCGGGAAAACGCGCGGCCGATGACTCGGGAGATGTAAGGTGGTCCGATGGCCTGTGATTGGCCGGGACGCACGTGCGATCTGAGATTTGCAGGCGCGTTTATATTGCGGCCACTCTTGCGCTGGGCTGCCTCTGGACGCTCACGTTGGTTCATTCCTCTCCTCCGAGTTCATTGGGCATCAACCTCTGCATCGCTTCATCCCCATTAATCAGCTGCTCCGCCTCTCCCCAAATAAAACCCCTCCTCTCCCTCTCTCGTCTCTGTCTTCGCTCCCTCTCTCCCAACAGCCACTCCGCTGCCCGCCCGCTTCCGTGGCCATTCAACACCGTCATCGTATATCCAACGCGTCTACCGTCATGGATCGCTTCCTCGCTCCACACAGTCCCGAGGCCATGGCCCATTCACACCTAAAGTGTGTTGCGACTGTTGTTTTACCCCCACTCTTTATTCATCATTATATTTTCAGCGAAAACTGGTTCAGCTGGGATACTGACCATCCGTCCCTGAACGAGACCCTGATATCCGGCTGTGCCACGTACGAGGCATTCAAGCGTTACCTCAGCGGCTCGGACCTCTACCTGCGGCCTCGATCAAGAACTGAACTCGAGAGCATACTGTGAGTCATCCCCCGAGTGCTTGTCGCATCTCCCTGACGCGCATAACCCAGTCGGAGATATGCATACGACACCGTCCATAACACCATCGCAAAGGCACGTTCACCTCTCGAACGTGGCGGCTACAGTCGGGTGAGTCAATGGTTGGATCTCGGTTCCCCGCCACAGCTGATCGCATGGTCCGTTCAGATCTGCCACCTGGCAGAGGAATCTATCCGCCGGGTGCTGAACGAGAACGACAACGTGGCGCACCTACTGGACGTGCACAATGACGAGGTGCATGACATGTCCTCAAATATGGGTACCTCATCGCCGCGGTCAATCAAAATCAAGTGAATGTCTTCGTGTAGTGCATTTGCGCCCTGTACTATTAATTTATTGCGCACTCCCGTCACTGTCGTATCTGCACGTCTCTGCTTTATCCTTGCGGTACATCCTGTAGCATGTCTCTCACTGGCCATTGGCCCACCATCTATAATGTGTACAATATCAGAATACAAATATCATGTAGTTGTACATCGTCGACTTTGGTTTGGTTTGCGGTTTGAGAGACGTTGCAGCTCAGGTAAAGTTCGGGTATTGCGTGTGGCAGATTTCGACGCCGATGCCTCCGTGCCTCCGCATGGGCCAATGGGGATTTGACGGCAAAGGCCGAATTTGATGCAGGCGACGAATTGTCTTCTGCGGCGCCTTGTTTGACGAACGTGCGAGGATCCTACGAACATGGGCCCGGCTGCACTGGAAAGGTTGTCTCTGCTCGTCTGACCTTAGCATCGAGGCAGACTCTGTTTTATATTCAACGTGTATGCTGCTCTCCTAGTGCTCAGCTCACTCGTCGACATGTTCGAGCTCAACGTCCTACTCTTGTTCTTACTGACTGCTCCCGATGTATTCGCCGCCCCTACGCAGGTCCCGATGGATGTCGCGATGGCACGTACGTTCTGCATTGACCCCCTTGTTGATCGCTGCGAACACCGTGCGTTTCAGGTCCCCGGAAGCTGCAAGGCCGGTTCCTGCACATAACGGACATTCATCCGGATCCGTACTACAAGGAGGACCGCTCGGAGAAGTCAGCTTGTCACAGAAAGAAACCGAAGAAAGCGACGCCTCGCTCGGGCTACTATGGCATGCCATTTAGGTGCGAGGCGCGTGACTGTTTGCGAACATGAACTGACACGCGAAACCAGCGAGTGCGATTCGCCATTTACCTTGACGAACTATACATTGAATTTCCTGGAAAATGAATGGGCTCCTAACATCGATTTTGTCGTCTGTGAGTGTTTGCCTCTCGTTCTTCGACATTCGGATCACCGACGCTCGTGCAGGGACTGGAGATAGCGCGAGGTAACTATCTCATTCACATTGCTCCTGCACTCGGCCCCGTTCGTTATTCTTGATACTGGTCATGCCTGAGCTTGTTCGGTGGCGGTAGCACTTTTCCTCGGCTTCTAGCCAACCTGCTACCCGTGACCTGATGCAGCTAGAGCGTATCTTTCTGAAATGATGCCCCTCATGGCATCATATGCTATCTCATCCCTTGGGAAACTCGTCTTCTTGGTGCCGTCACCACAATAAAGCGAAGTATTGAAATACGGATGCAATGCTCCTGGATACATTGTAGACTCGTATAGATGGCTTGAGAACACTATCTTCGCCCCATCTAGCCACTGACGTCACAGAAAAGATTTATGTTATATTTTCTCAAACAAGCCAATGTTCACGAGCTGATTTGTTTTCAGACATGATAACGACCGCAAGAATCCCCGCACCACTGACGAGATCTATATGCTCAATCGTGTTCTCGCACGAAAGATGGAGGATGTCTTTTTGAGCAAAGGGATCCCCGTCATACCCACTATAGGTATGCCTAGAACTTGATAACAATGTGTTCCGAGTGACTGACTGCTGTGAGGCGTCGTTTCTTAGGCAACAACGATATCTGGCGTATGTAATCTTTCATTTACTGATCTTTGATCAACGAAATCCAAGTCTGACATATTGCTGTATTGCTTTATGCTTATGTGTATAGCTCATGTAAGTGCACACCTACATCTTTCGTTGTGTGTGGGAGCAGCTGACGAACAAGAACCAGAATATCATGCTTCCAGGTACGAGAGAGTATGGCGTATGCGCATGCTGCAACTGATGGACAAAGTTACCTCTAGGCCCTAACAGCGTGACATCTGAGTTCTCGTCGTACGTACATATTAGCTTCTCTCTGTCTGAATCAGACATCGCTTATCCTAGTTTATTCTTCCGCAGAATCTGGCGGTCCTTCGTTCCGTTCGAATCGTACCAAGTGTTCCAACGCGGCGGCTACTTCTCCGTTGAAGTCATTCCAAATTCCGTCGCAGTCATCAGCCTGAACACAATGTATCTGTATGATTCTAACAAAGGTGCGCGTCTATTGTCCTCACTTGGTCTGAAATGAGATTCACATGATGCATCCTGCCGGATGGGCGTAATTGTCATGGCAACCAGCTGTGGGAGGATGTGAACCTACGGATCCTGAAGACCCCGGGAACCTTCAATTTGATTGGCTCGAAGTGCAGCTGGAGAACTTCCGTGCACGGGGGATGCAGGCAAGTCCGCACCGGATCAGCTCCAGGGCATCGCTGACTTGGATCACAGGTTTGGATGAGTGGCCATGTTCCACCATCCGCAGATAATTTCTTTCCAGATTGTGTGAGTTTGCATCGTTTGTATCGATATTAGCCTTAGATGCCGACTCTGCATAGTATGTCCGGTATGCAGACCTTGCGCTGCGATATCAAGATACAATACTAGGACACTTATACGGAGTAAGATCCCCGTCGTCCACATGGATTTGTTTTGAAGCTGACAATGCAACCACTTTAGCACATGAATGTTGACCATGTAAGTTGTGTATGGGATTCCACATCAGGCTGTCTAACATCTAACAATTTTCAGTTTTTCTTTATCGACGGCGAGCATATACGTCGGCACCCCAAACAGAAATCCCCACTCGACATTTCTGACGAGCCGCAGGCACAGGCTCGCAAAGGGTTGTACAAGACGCTACTGAAAGACTTCGAGGACATCCCGAGGGCATCGCACAACACCAGCTACGACAACTATGGAGTGGTCAATGTGTCACCCTCGGTGGTCCCGAATCCATATCTTCCTTCATTCCGGATCTTTACATACAATATTAGTGGCAGCCCATACACCCCGGCCGCGCCACATTCAGAGCGTGAGTTGTCCACACATCGGTATAAAATCAGACCACACGTCTATGTCTGTCATTGCAGCGTCTACGTGCTCCCAAGATAACAGTGACTATTCGTGGAAACGCCACCTGTCGAAGCCTTGGCACTCTAACCCCGATTCGCCCTCGCGGACAAACAAACTTTGGTCGCCGCTGGGCTATGCACAGGTGGTTTGAGCGTGACATCCATCTTGGACGGATGCTGACTGAGTGATATACACAGTACTATCTGCCGGGGCTAGCGTCGAGTAGCCAGAAGCGGCCGCCGAAGTTCAAGCTGGAGTACCTGACGTTCGCGGTGTCGCAGCTGCATCCGTCTGGCGGGGAGGGGGCGGAGGGGTTCACGTACCCTGTACCGCTGCGCCATCTTCCGAGATCACTGCGAAATGCCACGGTCACAGCATCGAAGTTTGCGCCGTATGGATTGGCAGATCTGACCATTCCATCCTGGGCAGATTTGGCGCGGCGGCTTGCGGAGGGGGAGGACAAGCAGTTGCGGAAGCGGTTCAGACGGTATATGTACATGGGGGCGGACGAGGCGTGAGGGACAGTAAGCACATAGGATATAGCAGAGTGTACAGAGCGTGAACAATGGAGGCATTCTGGAGCGAGCGAGCGGCGAGACAGCCTGAGGCGGGCCGGGGGAGAGACGCCGGGGAGGTATTTGTGCAAAAGGAGGAGGGGGCAGTTGCCTTGACCACCGACGCCGTCGTCTCCTCATCTCTCTTTCTCGCCGATCTGCCTTTCCTCTGCCCGCCCGGGCTGTACTCCGTTTTTTGTTTTGTGCCAGCAGTGCCTCTCCGGGGGACTGGACTCGTCTTCGCATCCGTCCCATTTCCGCCGGTCGAGCCATCTAATCATCATCAGTTGCCCTCCTTTTTGCTGGCTCCTGCTTGAACCCTCTTAACCTGCTCTCGTCTCTCCTTTGCCCTCACGGCTGGCCCGCATTCGTTTTCTGCTGCTGTCCGCTTTCACTGTCTTTACCATCAACTGCACCCAGCTCCCTTATCTTATGGCCGCGGCAAACCTCCAGCTGATGGCTACAAACGGCCCTTTCGACTTTCTCCCTGCAGGCCACCACTCGCGCTCCAACTCGGTCTCCTCCTCCTCGTCCGCCAACTCGCCCGGCTCCCGTCCCCAGTCTTCCCAGGGTGGCATCTTGCGGACGTCGGCTCTGATGCCGCCATCGTCCGAAGACCTCTACCGTGCTTCTTTCCATACCACCAGCACCTTTACCGCTGACCACGCCCGCACAACCTCAGACACGTCTCACTCCTCCGCCTACTCTCTTGCATCTGAGCTCCTCACCCCGGGCGACTCCCCTCCAAACCACAACCTCTCCAATCCCTCGCTCAAGGCCCATCTGCGACCGACTCATATCCGGGCTCGCGTCGCGGCGTCCCCATACCCGCGGGATTGTGAGAGCGCCCACTCTTCTTCCAGCGAGACCGAAGACATCTCTTTGTACCTCGGTCCTTCGCCGAACGACTATCATCCTATGTTTGGCGGGCAGCCGATGATGGGCCATCCAGAGCCGATGCACACCACAGGGGTGTTTGGGCGGATGACTCTCAGCCCTGATCACGCCCTGGAAAAGCTAGCGGCGAATGTGCGCGCAGCAACAACAACCAGTGCGTCCGACAGGGCAAAGCAGATTTTCGTGCAGGCATGGTGCGTACACCGTTCTCCCGAGCATGGCCGTTCCTGATCTGTCAACCCAGGTTAACTGCCAACTACTCTCCATACCCCGATGGGAATGTTCCCCGTCAGGGGCTCTACTTTTCGTATCGGCGTGTATGCGAACAGTACAGCATACCACATATCAACACCGCCACGCTGGGAAAGGCCATCAGGCTTTGCTTTCCTACAATCAAAACGAGACGGTTGGGTGTTCGAGGGAACAGTAAATATCATTGTGCGTACGCTCTTCGATCACGAATCCGTCAAGGTCTGATTGCCGCTGCCACTGGTAGATTGCGGCATACGGCCTGCAACATCGGCAGAGGCCGAGTTTTTGCAGGACTACATACGGAAATCTAACAATACCGCTGCGCAGCAGTCTATCAATGCTGCTCGCATGGCGAGCGAGCAGGCGGAGGCCTCCAACAGAGGAGGCTCAGATGATGAAGATGATGAGGATTCGGAAGGCGCCAGCTCAGGCAATGTCTCCAAGCGCAATTCGCTGAACTTGAGCAGCAGTATCAAGAATTCGGGACTCTATGCTGACGAGAAGACACCCACAGCGAGCAGTCTACTCGCACAAGCCAGCCAACGACCGATGAGCAGCTCATATCCCATGCAGGCATCGATCCGACGACACCCTACGCAAGTGGAGCCTGGATTGACGGTCTCGCCCCAATCTGCTTCTAGTGCCGCGGATGCCGTCGCCTCCCTCGCACTTGTGTCCCCGTCGGCATCCAACTCGGTGAGGCAGCTGCCCCACTTCCCGTCCATAGAGGAAGCGGTTGGTATATCTTCGACGTCTCCCCACAGCTTAGCAGCTCGTGAAGTGTGGCGCTGGTTCCAGGATCATCTGGATGGCTTGCTAGATTGTATCCGAAGTTATCGAGTTGATCAATTCGAGTTTCACATACGGTCGTTCTGGTCGAACCTAAGCGGCAACCATCGCGAGGTGGTCCACGCGCCTGCTATCGCCGGCCTCATGACTAAAGCAGACGCGATTGTCTACGATGTATGCTATTCCTTCATCATTCCATGAATGTGCTAATAGAGTCTGTATCAGGAAATTTTGGAGCTCTTACGATCGCAAATGTTGTCCACAATATCGCCTGCATTCTTGACAGGCTTGCGCCAACTCGCTGACAAAATGGAGAAGATACTTCTTGGGTCCCTCGAGGGTTATGGCAATACATTCGTCGAACCCAAAGTAGAACTCGGTGCTCGGTTCGGTCATCTCGTCTGTACGTAACGCGATACAGTCTCTTGCAGAGCACCCTCCAACTGATAATATCACTTTTAGTGCGATTCCTCGATATTTATCAAGTCACACAAGCTTTAACTGCTGTGCTGACGAACCCGAAGCAGCTCAATGACATGCGTCGATCTTGGCAGAAGGTGGATTTCGAATCCGTCCGTAATCAGTCTGCGTTGGTCTGCAACTGCCGGCACGAGGATCTTGTTCAATTGTTGGAAGTGGAATTTGTCAGCCTGTTAGACGGCCTCGTGAAGAGCGGCGACCCTGTACGAGATGTAATGACCTGGGCAGACAAGTGCTGCGAAAAGTTGATGATTGCGCGAGGCGTCGGTCCCGAAGATCGTTCAACGATGAGCTCAAGAAGTGTCTTGATTCGATGGGGTTATGTAACGAGCCAGGTTATAAGGGATCTGGTAAGAGTTCTACTGCGTTGAGGAGCTGTAAATTTGCTGACTATATGCTTGTTGCAGACAATTCGGAGCGATCCTGCATTTGGTGCTTTCCAGATACTCAAGCTATTCTTGGAGTACGTATTGATTTCGTTCTCAGCATAATTTCTCGCTGACGTCGTTTTCAGTGACTGGATTGCTCTCAACGTCCTCAGGAGTGTTGCTTTGTCAACGAATTCTGTTGCAGCCTCTGTGGAGCCTGTCATGCAGCAGCAGTTTTTCCTATCACCAATGTCCGGCCACGAAAATTTTGGACAATCCCTGGATGTCAATCACTCTGCAATGTCACATACCCCGACCACATCAAGCATGCTCGCTGCATTGCAACAAGATACCTTTGGAAACGGATCCCTGGACCCAACGTCGGGCGCTTTTGGCGCTGACACTTTTAGCTCTTTGGCTTTCATGGATACTTCCCCGACTCAGGAGGATTCTCTGCCCGTTCATTCTTCATCTGTGCAGTTCTCCGACTACGTCTCGACTTCATCTGCTTTTGATACAGCCGCGTTCACTCACGAAATAGGCATACACAGCGCGTCCGGCACGCCTCCTTCTACTGGAAGCGAGCCAGACAACTCACCCGAACCTGTCAAATCGGAGGCATCGGTTTAATTGTGCCCACTCCCAACTTGCATTCTCTTTCCTCTGTCGAAGTGATATTTGTGGACGCTATCTTACTCTGTCGCATTAATAATGCTAAATATCGGTGTCTTGCTTTCCCCTGGCCTGCAGTAATTATGGATCCGTGGCTCGCCTGATGTATTGACTTTGTTTTTAACTTGCTGATGCTCTCATATCTCACCTGTCCCGCTCGTGCAATGTATCCCCAAGTTTGCGGATTATTCGAGTTATCCAGGTGCCCAATAACGATGCTATTATTGCATACACGAGTGCGCGCGAAGGAGATGATTGTGCAGATTGTGCAAATTAAACAATGTCAATATATCCTAGGTACAGACGACGCCAGAGCCGAACATCACTCGTCCTCGGCAACGTCTGCGTCGCCGTTCTGCTCCTGAACTGTCTCCAGCTTCTCTACAACGTCCTCGCTGGGAACAGCAACAGATGGCGCCTCGACATCGGCCGGTGTGGGTACAGGCTCTGGCGGTCGCTCGCCATCGCCATTAGGTGGTGCGAGCTCCTCCGATGGAGGTACGTCGGCCTTAGGCTCACCCTTTCCGGTGAGCTGCCGGATTTTGGTCTCCGCCTTCTCCTTGTTCTCGGCGGTGACGCGAGCTTGGTTTGCCTCATACCATGTCTTTTTCCCTCTGAGGTCTTCAACGACGCGCGGGACGTCAGTCGTTGAAGTCGGTGGCGCTATCGAAAGAGACAGAAGGGCTGAGAGCGTCGGAAGGGGAACGTGCAGAGTCTGGCTCCCTGATGCAGCGGTACTGGTTGCCTCTAACGGAGAGCTCGGCTTGGCTCCATTCTTCTTCTGTTTTGAGCCCTTGCGCGAGCTGGCTACGAAGTACGCATCATCGTCGTTGTTCGACTTCTTCCGGACGATCAGACCATCGCCAGGGCCCTGTTCGACCTTTCGCAGCTCGAGCTTGGGCACACCCGACAGATCGGTTTTGGCTGCCACAGGAGCGGTGGAAAGTGACGGTGTCGCGTTCTTGCCTAAGAAGTAATCGATGAGTGTTTGGCAATCCTCGATCTGCGCCTGGAACGCCGGTATCTCCGCCTCGTCGCGAATCCGCTCAGCAATCTCGTTTTTCTTTGCTTCCTCATCCGCTGCGCGTTGCGCTCTTTGTCGCTCTGCGCGACGTGCACGCTCCTCGTTGACCTTCGTCCAGTGTTTGTCGTTTGCTTCGCGGAAACGTTGCGCAGACTCACGCTTGTAGTTGTAGAACGTATCGAGCTGCGCCTGCAACGCTGTGCGTTCGTCTAGCAACTTACTTCGGTTCGCAAACGCTTCGTCGCTCTCTTTCTTGAGTTCGTCAAGCTCGGCTCTGATCGCGTCGTAGCGGTCCGAGACAGCCTTTGCCTCGGGGTCGTCCAGTTTCTTGCGAAGCTCGTCCGCGGCTGCGCGGTCTGCCTCAATAGAGGCTTGTTCTGCTTCGAAACCTTCGACGATCCGGCGGCTGCGTTTCAGTTGGCTGATCTCAGCAAGCGCACGTTTTTCGTCGCCGAGTTTCAGATTGCCGGACTCGACCTGTTTGTCAAGTTGTCTGGCGAACTTAATGAGGGGGGATTGTCGAGGATGAGAAACAGAGTACGTACTTGACGCGGTCATCGAGCTCAGCGATGGTTTTGTAAGGCGCCTTGGCTTTGGCGGCATTTAGATCCTTGACCTGAATGGGAGGATATTCAGAACCACAGTGAATGGGTACAAGGATACTCTTACCTTCTTCTGGACACCATCCTGGATGGACTTGAGCTGGTCGAAGGTCTTCCCACGCGAAATCTTGCTGGTGGATTGCTGGTCACGGAGACCATCCAGTTCAGCTCGAAGAGTGTTGCGTCGGTCATTGCCTGGCCCGTTCTTTGATGTCAAATTGATCTTTTCCTTCACCGCAGACTAAATATCGTAACCGACTGAGACCAACTGACAGTCCGAACATTCAGTAGTTACGTACAACTTTAAGCTGCACGCCATCAATTAGAGCTTTGATTTTCTCCTGCTCACGCTCATAGACAGTCTTTTCGGGCTTTCCGGAGGCATAGACAGCAAGCTCGAAGTTGTCCGAGGTGACCTCGACGGGTGTGGGAGTGGAATGACCAGCAGTACCGTTTGGGGCGGCAGAACCGTTCGTTGAAGACGCAGACGCCTTTGGTTTCTTACCGGCGCCATTAGCGGTAGCAGTCTTAGATTTTGCAGCGGCCATGAGGGAAGAACGAGCGAGGAGTGGCTGAGCCTGGGTGTGACGAGGAGGGGATTTGGCAAGTCGAGTTGGAGGAGACTCGGTGTGGACCCATACGTGGTTGTCGTGAGAAACCCATTCCGGAGTCCATCTCCACGACCCTCGTGACGTGGCTAATTTCGAAAATAATTGTCTGACGCGTTGCTCGACTCTCAGAGCGCATCCAAATATGAGCGTTGCACGGCAGAACATAGTATAGACAGCAGTAAAATATAGCGGGAACATAAGCCATGTCAGAACACAACCTTTTGATCTAACGCTTCAATCTCCCGATAGCATTCGTCGTACAACTCCCTGTAGTCCTCATCCTCGTCCTCCTCCCCTTCTTTCCGTTTTGTCTTCTTTTTAGAGTCTGGACACACCATGACACAACTCGTCGGTCGCTTCGTCGCGCTCGCATGGCCAAGTTCTTCTTTCGACGTGACAAACACATAGGGAACACCCGCATCCTCACTCAATACAGGCAGATGCGAGATGATGTCGATTGGTGTGATGTCCGCCGCAAGCACCAGTAACCTGGAAAAGAACTTGGTGATGAGAATGCTGGCAATTGACGGCGATGGACGCACCCCTTCTCTCCCTTCCGGATACCCTTCACAACCTCCTTGACGCCGCGCTTGACCTGTCGGTGCTTGGAGGCTTATAGGCCAAATCACATTTACAATCACATTTGAGAGGAGGGGAAGCAACCACGGACCTTTCTTGATTGTTTTGTGCAGTTTCTTGACTAGCTTTTTTTGCGCTAATGGGTGCGCTATTGGTGATAGGTCCTCCAAGGGAATGATGATATCGTCCTTTGCCTTCTTCCCCTTCTTCTCGGCCTACCAGTGTCTCTCTTAAGACCTCTGGCAAATATCAACTGGGCGGAAGCTCACCTTTGCTGAGTCCTCCATCTCGACGTCTACAACCTCGATAGATTCAGAGACGGTCTCCGCCGCCTCCTTTCTCTTCTTATCCTTCTTTTCGGACTTGTCTTTGGCCATTGCGTGCGTTTATCTGCAAGAACGTACGGCTTCGAGACCGTGCGGGCGGGGAGGTTGTCCGAATCAAGGCTTAGACGAAAAGGGACGGTCACGTGCAACCCTGAAAGCGATCTGGGAGTGATCGGCTTGTCGATCTAGAATCTGCTTGGCTCGGTCGTCTCCTGTGGTTCGGTCTTGACCCTGGTCTCCCTCCGTATGCGTATGTCTCATGTCTGTCCTGAGCAAACGCCTATCCAAGGCCATTGGGTCTCGTGTGCGTACCACAAATTCTTGGTCTCCAGGCACTGTTCAAGGCTAGGCCTTCTTGTCAGGTGGTGAGTAGCCCTTCATCCATCGCACGATGCGTCGATGCACCTGCTACCACATTTCATATCACCATCATTGGAGGTGTCAAAGACAATGGTGTCCTTTGTTCTCACTACGGCTTCCCACACTGATTCCTCGATAGACTCCATAAGTGCGCCGCAGCGGCATGGAGTGGGTTCGAACGTTGGAAAGCCAGTGAATAGCGTCTATGCCGTGTCTTCTCAGTGCGTGGACGTTATGACACACACTCCATTCTAACGCTAGGATACGCGGACTTTGTATTGAGATGCAGCACATGTCGTACCTCGGACTGTTCCCGAGCCTGACAAACGAGCTCATTTGTCCCAGATTCGCGTGTCTGATAGCATGCCACCTAAACTCAGGGTGCATTCATGCGACTGTGATCAAAGACTCTTCACAATCCATGCGGGACGTCTGCGAGGTTAACGTAGTCAAGTTGCTTATCGACCGGATCACATTTTCGGAAGTAAAAAACCCGTGAATAACAACCATTGTGGGGTAATACGATCGTGTTTGCGAAGCTTAATGTTCACAATTTGTATCCGCCAGGGCATGTAAGTGCCTTTGAATCCTTGGAAATGTGGCAAGCCTGCGGCCGCCTGGTATACGCGCCGGCTGCCAACTGAAAAATTGCAGCGTTAGTGAAAGTAGATTACAGTTTGACCTCGAAATAGACACGCTCCCTTCAGATGACCTTGTACCTAGAAAATTTGATGATGTGCGGAATGGGCTAGACCTTATACCGCTGGGCTGTTCAATAAGGTATGAGCGTTTGCGCACTGGTCCACCCTTTTCTCGGCTTCGTTTGTCCATGTTCCGTTGACCGCAGCGGCGAGCATGTTCTGTTATTAATCGTGACAGCAAATTTCGTCTGTAGAGGCCATTCACGGATGTTTTTAAGCAGGACGCGTGTGTATCGGACTAGGTCGCAAATACTTCCATCCCCGCCGACATTCAGTGCACCTGACTAAGATTACGGCGACTGTTTGCCGTCCTCGTTCCCCTGTGGAGGTTCTCCCAAGCCTCTCAGGAAGTTGAGCCATACCCAAGACATCCCCCGGCTCTCCATATCGTACCAGTAATTTATAGCTATCGTGACTTCGGACTGTCGTACATAATGCCACCATCCCGCAGGGAGGTACAGTGTTTCACCGGCATGAACTGTTATGTGTATGGGGTGAGCCTCAGGAGGCAGGGCACCGGAGGCTGTTGGGTCGAGTACTGAAGACCAGCGCACGGCAGGTGTCATGTCAGAAGATGGAACCAACTCTAGCTGCGATGTCTGTTGAGATCGGATGTACGATGCATGTGGATAATTTCGCTCTATCAGCCAAGAGGATCATGAGTGATGGCGTGCGGGTCATTGTCACAGACTGACCCTGTAGGCACCATCCTTCCGTCGGAGGCAACAGAGTGAAGTGCTTCGCGCCGCGAATGACGGAGTATATGTTCTCGTATGGGTCTGGAATGACATGAGGACCAAGTCAATGTAATCCGGCAATCTGCACTTACCGCTATGTATGCTGGTAACGCTCTTGCTGTCACCAATCCATAGGTTCACTGCCTCAGGCGGCTTGTCTGTACATCATAGGAATCAGATAGAAGCTTCAGACAAAGCATCCGCACCGCATTACCCAGCGCATCACTGCACCACGGGATCTCACTCAGGACGTCTTCGCGCAGAGGTTCGAACTCGGAAGGATCTTGGTCACCACTAAGGTCGAAATAGCTTGCGGTGAACAAGTTCCCGTTCTGTGATTGCAAGTAATAGACTTCGCCACACCCTGACGAGGTGTTTTTCGAAGGGTCTACGGAGAGATCGGTGGATATTCGAGAGGCTGAGAAAAGCATCTGCCAATGCAATCGCGTCTAACCTGCGGACAGCGCGGCCAAGAAAGTGCGCATTGTCATTTTGTCTATATGCGGTTCTGCGAAGTACAATCGGCCGTCACGGCCAGAGGCAATCGCATCCGCGCGCCTGGGATATCATTGAGAAATAAGCGTAAAGACCGCAACTAATTTGGAGATAGACCGCACCCTGTGGGCGTTGCGGCGATAGAGATACTCTGATCTCTCATACGCCCAATCAGATACTCGTCCGTCCAGCGGGAGGTTCCGCCTTGCACTTCGCTATCTGGGAGATGATCGTGATTCGACCGGGTCTTGCAAGCGTCTAGAGGATTGCACACTTACCCTTGATGAGCACGGGCCTGCCAATGTGTACTAAACGGGAGAAATCGATGGCAGTAGGCGGTTTGTCGAGGACATCATAGTGGGAGCCATTCAAATCTGTCATAAGTCGGTTAACCTTCGCGTTCTCCCCGTGGGCGTCGCAACGCACCATGATATTCCGCAGCGATCCACTTTAGTGAGTCGCAGTTTGACATATTTGAGTCGACCTTTATGTCTGCTTGTATGTTCCCGAGCGGTTTCAACTCTGGTGGAGGTTAGCCCGAGGTCGATGTGAACGAGTTCATTGAATGCAGCCTGCGCGCGGCCACAACGGCGGCAGCGTCGGCAGCGATCGAGATTTCTTTCCGAATGAATAGGCACGTGACAAACCCCGGCGCGTCCAGGGTCCACCCACTGGCAGTGGCAATGCGCGTCGCGTCGTGTTCAACCGCGACCGTTTTCTGACTTTTTGCTACAATATTGTTCTTGCTGGATCCTTGCTTGCCATTCGTTGTACATATTTTGGATATGCCCGACACTCGCAAACGTACAACTTCAAAAAAGGGCGGTAAGGGAAAGGCGGTTGGTCTTGTCAGCGCTGTGACGTTTCGGGTGCCTAACGCATATACTCACTAGTCAGGACAAAAATCGCTGTTGGATTTGTTTTCTCCGAAACCTCCTTCTGTGAAGCGCACAGAATCTGCTTCAATAAATGTTGCACGCGAATTTGAGACCCGTCCCGAGCCAACCCACTCCAGTGACATCGAGTTACTGGACGCCCCCGACGCGTCTTCAAGTCCATTGCCCACGGATGTAGAGTCACTGCATAGCGATGGAGTTATAGAAGTAGTTTCACCCAACGAAGGTAAGTTCCACATAGCTCATCGTACTCGTAACACAGATTTTAATGCTACCACAGAAGTGTTACTGCTGCCGTCGAGGTCGCAGCCTAACTCGAAAAGTAGCAGGCACCCTCTGCGACCCTCACGCGCACACTCCTTCAACGTCTCCTCACCACATCATCCGATGGCTGAGGGCCACACTCGTGACACTCCCATTGTCATTGATTCCAGTCCCGTCAAGCTCCGTGTTACCGGCCATCCATCTTCAAAGCCAGCGTACTCAATTTTCGCACCCCGAAGACCGACAGTCGCACAATCTGCGTCCCCGGTTTCGTCACCTCCGCCTATTGTTCGGAAAACAAGCCGGAGGCTTGATTGTGACACATACCCGGACCACCATTCGCAGCACGTCCGTGGGTCTCAGTCAACGTTTTCTGCGCCTGAGCCTCCGCTCCCACGTTGCACAGCAGGTATGTGCACGTATTCAGCGACAATGACACTACTGACATCGCCTCGTTGACCCTGGGACACTGGCAGTATCACTACCGAGAGCCCTGTCCTCACCTGGCGCCGGTCGTCAGGACCTCGCACGTTTTACCCGGATCCAGGTTCCAATTTCCGAGAGTGTCCACGAGGTCAAGAGTCAATGTGGTGCTGTGGGTTCAGTATCGGCCCCCGACATACAGTTGTCTCCCGCGCCAAACATTAGACAATGCATTGACAGTATGCCCGCGTCGCATAAGACATATCCAGCAATACAGCGACTCATTGACAAAATAAGTGGCCAAGCTGACCTCAGTGTCGACGTGTCAGAACATTCGCAGGAACTCTGGATGGACAAATGGCGCCCTCAACGAGCAGACGAAGTAATTGGAAATGAAGATTGTGCGTTGTACCTTCGTGATTGGTTACTCGCCCTCCAACTACGCATTGAGACCACACCGGCCTACGATGGGAGCCAATCCGCGTTGGACAACAAGCGAGCCAGCAAAAAGTCTAAAGCGAGGCACCAGCAGCGAGGTCTCAAGCGTCCGCGTATCGTACGCCAAGTCGATAAGCAAGCGAAGCGGCGCAGGCTGAATCTGGAGGACTCGTGGATTGTACCAGATGACGAGTCTGAAGACGACCTCCCGGTGCTGGGTAACGACTTCGACTTCGACTTTGCGTTTTGTCAGCGAACGTTATCGCGGCTACAACGTGCCTCTGCGGAATCGGGGGACGATGCATCTTGTGATCTCGCCAGCCCATACTACGAAGCAGCAGAAGCCGACGGTGTACCGGACTTCTCGTATTCAGCGCCGCGTCTCGGCAATCAGATTCGCAACACGATCCTTCTGAGCGGGCCGCCTGGATGCGGTAAGACCGCCGCTGTGTATGCCTGCGCACAGGAGCTTGGTTGGGACGTCTTCGAGGTGTACCCCGGCATTGGAGAGCGGAGCGGAGCAGCTCTGAATAAACTTGTTGGAGATGCAGGAAAAAATCATCTTGTGAAGCAAACTCAGCGTCAGCCAAAAACACAGTTTTTCGCCGGCAATACGGTAAGTCCACTGGAGCCTGCGAACGGTGCTCAGGAGCAGAATCGTGGCAGTCATAGGCGGCTTAAGCGTATCGACCCCGAGACAGACGTGGACACCGTGGAGAGTACTCAGGACCACAAGACAGAGTCTGGTATTGACAGTCGCGAAACAGCTTCTACCACCCACGCCTCTTCTGTTTCCCAGTCCATCATTCTCATCGAGGAGGCGGATGTCTTGTACGAGAGCGACACCAATTTTTGGCCGGCGTTGATCAACATCATCAAGGAATGTCGAAGGCCTGTAGTGATGACCTGTAACGGTGAGTGAACGCCAGCTGTACTGACTGACGTCAAAAATTCATATTGGCACATCTGAATAGATGTTTCGTTGATACCATGTGGAGACCTGCCATTGCAGGAAATCCTCGCGTTTTCACCGTGCCCAGTCCCCCTGGCTACGTCGTATTTGCAATGCGTGTGTTTAGCGGAACATCAACCTCTGGAACGATCCGTAGTCTCCCGACTGTACGAGCTCGAAGAGGTCACTGCCGAGAACTCCCTTGGTATCTTTACTCAATGCGCCATCCCAAAGTTAGACCTCCGGTGTGCCCTGCATCGGCTTCAATTCGCAGGCGGGAGTAGCCGTTACTCAGTCTGTGAGTGTGGCGCTCACACCCGAGGCAATGCAGCGGGTGAAGGAACCCAAATCCGACGGGACCTCGACAAGGTCGAGATCCCAAACGAACTGCGTAGAGAAGATGTACAAATTCTACGGCGCATGGATCAATATCAAGGGTCGCTGTCCTTCTCGGATTGTTATCTGCGCCGACGATTTTTGGATGTACTCACGGTCAGTTCTGTCCTGGTTGGACAAGGAGGTTCCTGACCATGAATTCTCAGGACACCATGCTGGCTGACGCGCGTGTAGCAGACAATGAGCTGGGCTTCACAACCCTTGCCTATAGCGATACGGGACACGAGTCAGCGCTGCCCATTAATCAAGCTTTCTACCACCAAGATGACATGATGGCGGAAGAAGCGCTCATGAGCAGCTGGCACCGCTTGGAAGACATGTGCAACATGCGTATGGAACAGCGAGGGTATGCGAAGGCCGAGCGGGAGCATGCCGCCCAGATAGTTGCTAGCTTGGGGGAGCTGAACGTCCCGGCAGAAGTTCTGATGAACAGGACGGCCAGCATCCTGGACTATGGGCCGTGGGTAAGATACATGGTGGGTCACGATGATGTAAACGCGGCGGCGTCGATATCGTCGCAAGCGACGAAAGAGGGAGGCCGGAAGACGAGAAACAGCCAGAGATCGCTCGAGGCTTGCCGCTACATTGGGATTAGCGAGGCGAGCCAGGAAATACTGCGACGCACGGCGCTGTGCATTGGGTAGCTAGCGGACGGACTCTTCACATGCTGGGAATAGGGATGTACGTCGACTGCCATGGGACAAACACGTTGTTTTGCTGCGGGTTCGTGCTGAGTCAAGAGACGCTAGGGCTTGGAAAGCCCAAGATGACGAGCAGCTTGCCGGTTGTGTCTGGAGCGGAATGGCAGAGGGCGACGAGAGATCAGAGGAGCTGGCTGTGCCGTTTCGCATTGATCGAGCTTGATTCGCGGAGTCTATTAGATGGTGAGTGGATCGGGCAGATAGCGACGACGCGGGCGCGAGGGATGAAACATGTCCCTGACGGAGCTGGAGTCGGGTGACTGGGATGGATGGCAACAAGGAGCGGAGAGAGAGCGATCGAATGGAAGGAGGGGGAGGGAGAGTATTCGGATACTGAGGCGCTGTCAGCGTCGTCTGTGCTGAGTCAGGCTGGTAGGAGCGGTGGCCATGGACGTGATAGCGGGCGTAGTAGTCGAGTGGTCTAGAATGAGAGCGAGTGCGAATGTCGAGGACGGGCGGGGGGAAGTGAACAATCTACCCTAAATGAGGATCGCACTCGCAGCCACGTGGGACGGATGGCAGCCACGCGTCCGCGTTCTCTTCCTCAACCATCCTTACCAGTCCCGTTAAAGCGGCCATCCTCCTCGTCCTCATCCTCGTCCTCCTCGTCCCCCTCTCCTCCCCATGGCCACCACTCGTCCGCTCCCCACTGGGCCACCCCCGTCTGCATTTCCCCCAGCCCAGGCCCCGTCGTCGCCGTCGCCGTCCATCACAGCTCCCCGACATTCACCCGTCGCCCCCCTCGCCCCTCTCGAGTTCCTCCAGAACCAGCGCAGAGGATCGATCACCGACCCGTCTCTCCACGCCGGCCCTACGCCTCACCTCCATCTCCCAAACTCCGCGATGGGCCCCTTGCCGCCGTCGTTCCGTCACCACAGCTCTCCCTTTGCCACTCCGTCAACATCCCACGACCCCCAGCCACGAGGCCCGCTCGCTCCACCTCGCCCGGCTTCGCCCTTCAGATTTGGCGATGCATCTGCCCGTCCGTCCGAGGCCAGGCGCGCTCTCCGATCCTCGTCTGCTGACGCCGGCAAAAGACCCGCCCTCGCGTCCGCCATGCGCGAGCCTGAACGTGTTCTCGACAGAAGTGGGCCTCGCACCACACAAGACGGTCTCATAGCAGGTAACCCTAGCGCTACTGTCCACGTGTGGATGAGCTCAGGCGACCCGGCCTCCGTTTGCAGGTCCGAGCAGGGTGAAGGGCGAGGACAGCATGGACGTCGATCCCAGAGACCGCGACGGCGAACAGCAGCGTGAGCCGACCCGGCTGCAGCCCCCGTATCCGACCCACTATCCGAACGACTCGGCGTATGGGGCGCGGAGGCATTCGATTGCGGCTGGTGCTGGCTTTCCCGCTGCTGTGATCCGTGAAGGGCACTCACCATCTCTGCCTCAAGGTACGAAGCGGAAAATGTCGGCGGAAAAGGGAGGGATGCGTCGGCTGGGGGGCGAGGGTGCAGGCGTGGGCGTGGGCGTGGGTGTCGATCCGTTCCTGGTGGGGCCGGGGGTGTCGAGCAGAACGGTGAACGGAGAGGCGGAGGAGCCAGCGCCGAAGCGGCGGGGGTCGACGTTCGACACGCAGAAAATTGCACAGCTGAGCCTGAACGACCGACGGTA